TTTTAAAGGAACCCTTTTTGTGTCTATCTCAGTCATACAGAACACTCCTTGCTACTGCCTACATCATAATAATTGGTGGTGTCCTTTTTAAAGGAACCCTTTTTGTGTCTATCTCAGTCATACAGAACACTCCTTGCTACTGCCTACATCATAATAACTGGTGGTGTCCTTTTTAAAGGAACCCTTTTTGTGTCTATCTCAGTCATACAGAACACTCCTTGCTACTGCCTACATCATAATAACTGGTGGTGTCCTTTTTAAAGGAACCCTTTTTGTGTCTATCTCAGTCATACAGAACACTCCTAGCTGCTGCCTACATCATAATAACTGGTGGTGTTCTTTTTACAGGAACCCTTTTTGTGTCTATCTCAGTCATACAGAACACTCCTTGCTACTGTCTCCGTGGTATTTTTTTCTCTCCAGAAAACCTTCTTTTGGCTATCTTTGTCATATAGAACTCTCCTTGCTACTGTCTCCATCGAACTTATCTGTGGTATTCCTTTTTGCCGAAACACTTTTTGTAGCTATTTCTATCATTAAAAACATTCCTTGCTACTCTCTCCATCATACGTATCTGTGGTGTTTCTTAGTTCCTCGTCAATCATAACATGACAATGTTGTATGCAATATTAAATATGTATATGTTTAACCAATTTCTGATGAAACCTCGAAGCTCAGCCCTAGGTTATTCATAACGGGTGCTATCCCCAAATGGCCTAGAAATATGGGCTACATTCAAAGATCGATCACGCCCTTTTAGATTTCTCACACAAATTAGTGAAAAAAAAAACACATCAGCCAATGATGTACATAAGAATATATTGTTATGAGTACTGAGAACTCAATTAGCGACATTACTGGGGACTAACTACAGAGTAGGTCGCGTGGAAGTGTGACATATTAAATCTACTTCAGTGAGTAAGCTGAATTCATGTCCTTGTAGGAGGGTACTGAAAGTGGACATAATCCATATAAATTGGCAGAAATAAAACAAGTGGAGTTTAATAGATACTAGCAACATTAACAGAGGAATAAAGAGTAATGTGATCTTAACTAATGTACTTTAGTCAAACAACTCACCATAAAATTCCATGATTGTATTTCAGGTGAGTTTCTTCTCCACTAGTCCGGAACTCAGCAACAAGCAACGTTTCGAGTATTTTCTGAGGACTGTGCCTTCTGACACCAACAAGGCTCAAGCTATGGTGGAAATTATTAAACAACTATCCTGGACATACATCTCTATTTTATATGAAGAATCAACTTACGGAATCAAAGTAAGAACCGAGTGAGAAAAACTATAATGAATCAAGGTCATTTGATTTCAATAACATTATACTAACACTATAGTAGTGGCTTAATATATATATATATATAAATATATATATTTCATATTTTCATCTTGACCTTTAAGTCTGTTTTTGCGATTTATCCTGCATTTCCCTTTTAAGTGATCGAAAGGCCTTACTGAAAGTGCCTCATAGAGCAAGGGAATGAAACAAAAACACGTTTGAAGTAAACTCCAGGTAACTTAAAAATACCAACAACAACAACAAAAGCGTAACAGTTTCGATGCTAATGAATGGTTTTACTACCTTTGTTTCAATTATAGCTTTAAAAGTCATAATCCATCTCCACTGAAGGCTTAGAACTCTGAATGCAATAAAACTACTTTTGGAAACTATTGAATATAACAGTGTGTATATGTTTGTCACTTTGTGAGAAAGACAGCTAAACTTAATAGAACAGTGTGCGTTTGTCATTCTGTGTGAGGGCTAATTAAAGCTTGCTAGAATTCATTGAACAGTGGGCGATTGTCATTTTGTGTGAGGGCTGATTAAAGCTTGCTAGAATTCACTGAACAGTGTGAGTTTGTCATTTTGTGTGAAAGTTAATGAAACCAAATAAACTTACAACCAAAAATATCGTTAACAGTGAGGGTACCTTACAAATCACACAATGCATTCTAATCTTTAAAAGTAGTAGCATTAAAAGGAATACGCAGTTAGCTATACTGATAGTCAGGCTGATTTTCAGCTTCGCTTTAAATATATAGCTTACTCTGATTGGAATTTATTATTATTATTAATAAAACAATGTGTATGAGATTTTGTTTGAAGTCTAAATAAACCACAGAAACTTAATAATACAGTGTATGTGTATGTCATTTTATGTGGAGGCCAACTAAAGCCAGCTAAACGTAATATTACAGCCTGTGTTTGTTATTTTGTGTAAAGGCCAAAGAAAATTAGCTAAAATTAGTAAAATAACATGTATGTGTTGCTTTGTTTAACAGATAACGATTAGCTTAAGGTACTGAGATCATGCTCGAGTGCTTTAGTTAGCCTACACACAAAATAGCACGCTCTGCTGTAATTAGTTTGGCTAGGTTTCGTTACCCTTCACATAAAATAATAAACACACATACTGTTGAATTAAGTTTAGCTAGCTCCAGTTAGCCTTCACACAAAATAACACAAACACTGTGTTATTAAGCTTAGCTAGTTTTAGTTAGCCTTTACATAAAATGACACACACACACACGTTGTTTTTTTTTTTTGAAGTTAAGCTAGCTTTAATTAGCCTTCGCACAAAATGGCACATATACTGTTTTATTATCTTAGTAGTTATGATTATCCTTCACACAAAATTACAAACACATACTGTTATATTAAGATTAGCTAGCTTTAGCTAGTCTTCACACAAAATAACATGCACACACTGTTTTATTAAGCTTACTTGCTAATTATAAGTATTTTTTATTAGCTACAAATTTTACAGCAAGGAAAAAATATATCTTTAAACAGGTACGACGTTACGATTACTAGTGCGATCATTCACAAGTGAACAGGTATTAACGGTAAAGAAGGTTTTCGTACTTAAATCAATATTCAACAATATATATGAACTAGAGAACCGATAGTGATTACTTATACATGTGCATATCAATTTGCATGCATCGACATGTTATTTATTTGTAGTTAAAAATAAAAAAATGAAGATGATGAATTTGAATATGTGGAAGACGATCAAAAACATAAGATAGTCGTGCCTGGGTACTTGTTGGTTGTGGGATTGTTTAATCTTATAAGTATGGCTTCCCTGTTAAATTCAAGTTCATATTTCAGTATGGTAACATTCTATTAGAAAGAAAAAGTATTTTATATATATTCATAGGTAGGGTTTCATGTTTGAATTACGTCACCTGTATGAAAGGCTGTGCTGTTGCTATACTGCATTTTGTAAATGTTCCTGACAGAGTAGGTCCGTCATATAAGTTTTTTAACATGTGTTTAATTTTCATTCCAAGGGTGAAAACTAATGTCGTCCTTGTGTTAAACTTATATTTACTTGTTGTTCTTTTCCAAATATCCGTTAAAGATATGCTAATATTTATTATATACGATATGTATATATATATATTATATTTTCCGTACTCTAAAAGCTGGAATTTGTAAAAAAAATACTTATGATCAATAAGTAAATTAACAAAACTATTCTTTGGTTTGTTTGTTTTGAATTTCGTGTAAAACTACACAAGGGTTATCTGCGCTAGCCGTCCCTAATTTAGCAGTGTAAGACTAGATGGAAGGTAGTTAGTCATCACTACCCACCGCCAACTCTTGGGCTACTCTTTTACCAACGAATAGTGGGATTGACCGTTACATTATAACGCCCCCACTGCTGAAAGGGCAGACATGTTTAGTGGGACTGGGATTCAGAGTCAAGCGCCCTAACCACCTGGCCCTTGTTCTTCATTCTTAGCTTCCAACTTTCCTATCATCTTTGTCTTACGTCACTGCGTTTATAGATATAACCCGATTCTTTAATACCGAGAAGTAGCATTTCAGAAAACTCGCCAATACTGCAAGAAGACATCTCAAAAACGTAAGAAAAAGAGAAACATAAATATACATAGCAGTCAGTCCTATCACCATCCACAACCTATACAAAAGTTTTAACTACACAGTCACTCCTATCACCATCCCAACCCTATGCAAATGTTTTAACTATGCAGTCACTTCTGTCTACATCCACAGCCCTAAAGAAAGATCTAAACTATGCAGTCACTCTTATCACCATTCACAGCTCTAAACAAAGGCCTTAACTATGCAGTCACTCCTGTCTCCATCCCAGCATTGCAGGTAAAATCCAGATTTGTAGACTTTTACGGTAACGTAATAATACAATCAAATCACAAATTCAGTCAACATCAACTAATCTCAAGAAGAATCCACGTCTTATTCAACTCGGGACAACAAAAATCTATCTCCGGAAATCTTCAACATTCGAAAAAAACTATAACAAATCAGTGAACAATTTACTAACTAAACAAAAAACAGGTCGGTCCGTTAAATACTTTTTGATGAATTTATTGATAGAAATTCGAAAATACTAAACAACGAGAAGTCTATATAACAAAATTTTACACCAGAAAAACAAATTTCTAAAACTTCTTAGAAACAGCAAAAACGTTGTTAACCAAGGATCCAATTAAGGAAACTCTATTGTGATTCTACCAACCAAATAAATAGTGGGATTGATCGTCACATTATAACGCACCCACGACTGAAAGGGCGAGCATGTTTGGTGAGACGGGGATTTGAACCGTGACCTGCAGATTACGAGTCGAGCTCCCTAACCACCTGGCCATGCCGGACCTTAACAAACAAACAAAAACGAAGGAAGTTTAATCATTAGCATTATTTAAAAGAATGTTATACTTCTAATAAGATTTTGGAAAAGATCAGCGCGTAACTATAACCTCAACATAATGACTAGATTAATTTTCACCCCTTGAATTAAGTGACGGCTCGTTAGTTCGAAGGCCAATTACTACGAAGGCCTGATAGTCCGAATATGTAAATTTCTTTTTGTTGTTTCTTAACATTTAAAATGATCATTCTTATTCCATAGTGCTGTGATAACGTATGCTATACCCTCTACTCATCAAACATGTTCAAAGCTTCCAGTTAATAAAATTATCTTGACATCGAGACCTTTACACTACACTGTCGATTCAAATGTTTCTGTTCTTTGTATTTAAAACGAGAGCAAGCCATCAGGGGCGTCTGGTCCCCCGAACCACCACCAAGATGTACCTTTGAGATTGCATTCATCTATTATGGACCTACGAATTTGTTTAAATGTTCAATTTTGACTTATATTGCGAAAACCAAAAATCTGTGGCTATCGGGCCTTCGGAATACTGAGTTAAAACTAAACACATATAAAAAAAAACACATATAGTGAACCCATCCCACAAGGAAATATTTACAAATTGCAGTGTGACAGTTGCTCAGCTTTTCAAATAGGTGAAACAGGACATAAATTGAACTCAGGTTAAGGGAACACCCAAATTCCCTTTTCCATATACATGAACATATGAGAGAAAAAAACACACTTTTTTTCTAACAGAATGTTGCCAGACTAAAACATGAACCTGACATTAACATAATATAAATCAGAAAAGTCTTTTTAATAAAATTAAACAATCACACAACCAACAAGTACCCAGGCACGACTATCTTATGTTTTTGATCGCTATTTACCCAGATATTCCTAACCTTATCGAAATCTTTCGTACTTCTTCCACATATTTAAATTAATTTTTTATTCAGCTATAAATAAATAATCTATCAATTCATACAGATTGATATGCACATGTGTAAGTAACCAACATCGGTTTTTTATTTTAAATACATTATTATATTGTTGGTTTAAGTACACAAATTTTTACCGCTAGAACTTGTGCACTTACGAATAGTTGCACCAGTGGCCGAAACATCGTACCCGTTTAAAAATATATTTTTCCTTATTGTAAAAGCTGTATCTTGGAAAAATACGTATAATCAGCAAGTAAACTCGAACGAAACTATTTAATAAAACGGTGTGTGTGTGTGTGAGTGTGTGCTTGTGTTATTTTGTGCGAAGGCTAACGAAAGCTAGCTATAGTTAATATAGTAGAGCGTGTTATTTTGCGTAAACACTAACCAAGTTACCTAAAATGCATATAATAGTATGAGTGCGTCATTTTTGGGGAGGGTAATAAAAGCTATCTAAACGTAATCAAACATTAGGTACATGTTTTTCTCATTTTTGGCGTAGATTAAAAGAAAGTTAGCTAAACTTTAAACAACATCGTGTATGTGTTATTTTTGTGTGAATATATTTTAACATTGGGTGTGTTTCATTTTTGTGAGCTTTCCAGTGTCACAGTAGCAAATCAGAAGGCTTATATCGAACCTGGGTTTCGATACCCATTTTGGACACAATA